CGTATTTTCTACTTGTCTTACCCGTTTTATATTTTTTCTCTTCTGCTTGCTTTTTTAATGTGAATGAATTATCTTTTATTATCTCTATTTTTTCCTTCATATAAAATTCCAACTTCATATAGTTTGTACTTCCTAAACTTCAATTGTTGTTGTTGTTGTTGTTTGTCATCGAGTCGGCCCCGACTCATAGCGACCCCTCCTTGGGTTTCCGAGGCAGTATCACTACGGAAGTAGGAATGCCCAACCTTCCTTCCGAGGAGTGGCTGGTGGGTTTGAACCGCCAGCCTTCTGGTTAGCAGTCAAGTGCTTTAGCCACTATGCTACCAGAGCTCCTAAACTTCAATTAATCACCACTAAATTTTTGTTCTGGGAGCTCTGGTAGCATAGTTGCTAAGGCACTTGACTGCTAACCAGAAGGCTGGAGGTTCGAACCCACCAGCCACTCCTCGGAAGGAAGATGGGGCAATCTACTTCCGTAGCGATACTGCCTCGGAAACGCAAGGAGGGGTCGCTATGAGTTGGGGCCGACTCCATGGCACATAACAACACAACAACAAATTTTGTTCTATTTCTATACCACCTGCCGCAGATTAAACCAGTGATTTGTTTATTCTAAAAAGGAAGTGTTACGTAAATGAAAAATCAGCACTGTTTTCTATACACAGAAATATTATATATAAAACAATTAAAACAAAAGGGCTAATATTGTGTACCACTCTGGGAAACATTTCCATGTCCCATAGGCTTTGCAAAGGTGTAGACCTGCACTGTCCAAAATGGTAGCCACTGGCCACATATAAAACCAAACTCACTGCCATGAAGGGGATTCAGACTCACAGCAACACCCACTGGGTTTCCAAGGTGGTAAACCTTTACAGAAGTAGATTGCCCCATTTTCCTTCCATGGAGTGGCTGGTGGGGTTGAACCACCAACCTTCTGGTTAGCCTTAGGCACTGCACCACCAGAGCTCCTTGCCACATACAATTGTTTTAATTAATATTAAACGATATTTTAAAAAGTCAATCCCCTAGTTGCACTAACCACATTTAAGAGATCAAAAGCCACATGTGGTTAGTGGCTACTGTATCTGACACTACAGATACAAAACATTCCCCTCACCAACGATAGTTGTTAGCACTGTTCAAGACCACCTCTCTAACCCACCCTCCCCACCCCTCAACAATGAAGCCACACTAGTACTTCAGTTCTTGGAATGCATCAAAGATCTTTCCCTAGTTCAAGCCTTTGCATGTTCCAATTCTTCTGGAATGCTTTCCCACTCTTTGCCCTGCTACTTTTCATTTTTCAGATCATACCATATACATAAAAGCCCTTTCCTGACCATCAATTTAAGAGCACTCCACCCCCTACCCATGCACTCTATTAAATAATCTCCATCTCTGCCCTCTGGCTTTTTCCTTCACTGCAGTTATTACAATTTACAACTAATGCATTCATGTGTGTGTGTATTTCCCACCTTTGTGGAGTTACTTCAACTGTACTTCAGTCACAACCAAAAGAGCTTTTTAGTTCAGAAAAGAATATATCTACATTATTCAAAATGACAAAGTCCACAAAGATGTACACCCAAACAACATAAAACTATGTATTATACAACCATATAATAAGCTTCTCTTATTCATTAGTTATTTTAAAAATACTTTAAGTGGAAAGATCAACAAAACTTATTATATAGTTTAAGGAGCTCTGGTGGTGTAGTGTTTAAAGCATTCAGCTGCTAACCAAAAGGTTGGGTGTTTGAACCCCCCAGCTCCTCTGTGGGAACAAGATGAGGCATGAATTTAGTCTTGGAAACCCCATGGGGCAGTTCTACTCTGTCCTATAGGATCGTGATGAGTCGGAATTGAGTTGGTGGCAGTTTGTTTGGTTTTGGTTATTATAGGGTGCTGTTGTTGTTATGTACCATCAAGTCGGACCCGACTCATAGTGACCCCTCTTTGGGTGTCCGAGGCAGTATCACTACGGAAGTAGATTATAGGGTGTAGAGGTTTTTAAAGAGCAATGGAAATAAAATAAAGGAAGTCCAAATACAAATTTGAATAAAGCATTTGGAAAGATAGCAATTTAATTTCAGCTAGGAAAATACATAAAATATCCCTTGAAAGTGGGTGGTGAAAGAAAACTGTATTAGACTTTGATAAATAAAAGAAGCTCTGGTGGCACAGCGCCTAAGGCATTTGACTGCTAACCGGAAGGCTGGCAGTTCAAACCCACCAGCCACTCCTTGGAAGGAAGGTTGGGCAATCTACTTCTGTAGTGATAGCGCCTCGGAAACCCAAGGAGGGGTTACTATGAGTTGGATCCAACTCGACAACAGTGAGTTTGATTTTAGGTGTAGTTACAAATCTTAGGTATATTTACAAATCCAGCTATTCTTAGTACAATACTTTACTAAATGGTGAAGACAGCTGCCCAAACCAAAAGAGCTGAATTATTAAATTACAATTGTTAACTCTCATTTTTTTTGGGAGGGGGACTGCAGACTTTTCTTGCCCCTTCTCTACTAGACAACTCCACATTACCAGTAGCTGGGGTACAGCTCAGCAGTTGTAGTAAATGAACAAACCTGATCCACCAGCTAGGAGACGGGTCTGTAACCAATAGCAAATAATTTATAGACTGCAAGAAGATGTTTTCAGGAATACTGGTTTAATTGAAACTTTAATTATGGTTCAAGAGCTTTGATGAAAAATTCAGTAAAAAGATTTGCTTTAGGGAATTTTATAGTTAGATGATAATACTGAGAATGGCTGACTAATAATAAAAAAATAAAATAAAAATCATGAGACTTAACAGTATATTCCCACTGGGAATACAAAGCTCTGAATACTGTGACCAAGCAAACAATAGTTCAAAAATCTTCTTCCACAACAAAAAAAAGTCAAAACTAAAAAGACAACAGATTTATCTATATGGCAGAATTAACTACAAAATTTTTGCTCCATAAAACAAAAGACAGGCATATGAGCTGAACACTTACACTAGGTAGATACACTCCTTGGAGAGAACAATCATGGGAGAATAGAAAGGCTGTGCATGCACAAGGAGACAGCTCACGGGGCAAGAGTGCATGGGAGGGAAGGGCACAGGGAAGAGTGACTATGGGGAGGAAGTGGGAGGGGAGCTGTTGCATCGTGGGAAATTGTGGTCAATGTCATGAGACAAAGTGTATATGAGCTGCTGTGTGGAAAGTGAATTTGCTCTGTAAACTTTTACCCAAATCACAATTAAAAATTACAAAAAAAATTGTTCCATAAATAATTAACTTGTGAAATTTCCTAGTTTGTGGGTAAAAAAGGGAAACCTTTATTTTTGGTCTTATTTCACAACTCTGGGAACAGGATTACAAATTCCAGCACTTTAAATCTTTATGCTACAGAAAACAATATTACCTACTAGAATCAGGAAGTAGTTTCCTAAAGCGTCATTAAAAAATGTTATCTTTTGCTTTTCCTTTACTCAAAACATTGAGTAAAGGCAAACCAAGAAGAGAACATCAAGAAATTTCGATTCCTTTTTTGCTGTTACCCTTCAGGCAATTTTCTTACACATGCTTTCAAAGTCATTTGAAAATAAGGCTACTTTCCTTGCTGGTTATCTATCTTGTATAAATTAACTGCATGGTATTTCTTGAAATAAACAGAAATTTTACATCAGTGACATTATGCTACCTTTAGAGAAAAGGAAACAAGGCATCAGAGACAAGATAAGATTACAGTTTTAACAAAAACTTGTAAGAGGTAATGATCAAATTATAATTTAGACTTGTTTCCTTTATTATTACTACTCACCCACAAATTCTGCAGCTTGGTGTCAATTTCAAATCCTCCTAAGAGTCCACGTCATGAGTTAAATATGTACATACAGAACAAAGCTGTATATTGCAATTTTTAAAAAGCAAATCTGTTTTACATATTATGGGCTGCAGGCAGTTTAATGTAATCAAATATTTTTATGGTGAAGAAGATTAAAATGGGCTTTTACATATTTAACAGCTATGATATAATACATCATATCAAAAGACTATAGCTCTGAAAAATATGATAGGATTTTAAAGCTCAGATTAAATAGGAGAGTCCAAGTACAAACTTAAACACAGTATTTAGCAAGACAGCTATATAATTTTAACTAGGAAAATGTGTTTCTTTCAAGTATTACTGAGCTATATTTGTAGTACATCCTCGACTCTTACTACATTGTTCATTGCTGTCCAACAGTGACACAAGCAAGTAAAATATTCAAAGCATGAATTGTAATGTTGATAACAAATGTTTCGAAACATCAGGAGTAAGATTAATGAAGAGCAAGTAAATTTAGAACAAGGGACAGTACATTTATTAAAAATAAAAAATAGCAGACCAGTCTCTGATAACAAAAACTTATAATCCAAATACATCCAATATACAAAGAAACAATGTACATTTATTTTAAAATAAAAACAAGACCCATTAAGTAATTTTTTAAAAAAACTTTCAAAAGGAAAAAAGCATTTTGGCTCCCTCCCCCCCGCTGGACATGCACCTGCAGCACACCTTGCCAGACTTGAGATCTCTTCACAATGTTCTGCACAGAGTGTGCAAATGCTGTGATGAAAACACTGTTTTGAGTAATATCGTAGTTTCTGTGTGGATGACTCAGAACATCACTCAGTGGCTCCATTTCATAAAAGGTAAGCTTGAAGTGGAGAGAACCATTTTTCAAACTTTTCTGTTTTAACAAGAGGTACAGAATAAACTACTAAATCTAGATGTTTTCACATTTTGTATAAGTATCGAGTTCTTGTAAAAATTAATTTAAAATCGTAAGTTAGCCAAACTAACATCTTTAAACTTTAGACCAAATTCTTTCCACTCTTTTAGCATGGCTGAGCTCTTCTGTCTTTGTCACTAACAATGTTTGTCAAACCAAAGAACTATGAAACAAGAGTATGCACTGTGGAAGGAAGACTGTACCAAAAATGTCATACTGAGCTTCTGTCTTATGACACACATACTTCCTGTTGGATATTTGACTGTGAAAGTTTATTATCTTCAGTCTTTTCATGTCCTAGGGCATGGAAAGTCGTCTTCCGCTTAAATAGCCTCAGACTCAGTCGTAATAATTCATTGTCTACCATGGGGGCATTTGTGTAAGCTTGTTTCACAGTGCCCTATTGGAGAAAAAAAACAAATACAAAATGTGAATTAGTGGAAATGACAGACAGAAAAATCATTAACAAAAACATCAAAGCTAGAATACTCACTTTTGAATGGATATGAAAATTAGCTTTACTGGATTTAAAATCAAAATTAGCAAGTGTTTAAAAAGTTGGAAACAGAAATACCATTTGACCCAGCCATTCCATTACTAGGTATTTATCCTAAAGAAGTGAAAGTCATGACAAGAACAGACATATGCACACCTATGTTCATCACAGCACTATTTACAATAGCCAAAAGATGGAAACAACCTAGGTGTCCATCAACAGAGGAATGGATAACCAAACTGTGGTACATACACACAATGGAATACTATGAAACCCTAAAGAATAATGTAGAATCTACAAAACACCACATAATGTGGATGAACTTGGAGGACATTATGCTGAGTGAAATAAGTCAATCACAGAAGGCCAAATATTGTATTAGTCTGTCATTGTAAAACGTCAAGGAAAGGTTTATATATGAAAGGAAATTTTCTTTGTGATTACTAAGGGTGGGAGGGGAGGGGAGGAAACACTGTTAGATAGGTAGAGACAAGTATTGATTTGGGTGAAGAGAAGGGCAATGTACCAAATGTGAGTAATCAACATGGTGGCACTGAGGAAAAGGAAGACATAGCGTAGGAGGAACAGACAACAAAGATGAACCCTTTTGAATATACAGTACTGCACTGTCAGTGAAGGCAAACATGGATATGGTGGATAAGATGGGTGGACAAGCTGAACTACTAGATATGTCTATGCAAGGGGGAGTGTACCACCCAAGACCACGTATAGATAGGGTTGACAGACAATGGTTTTACAAGTGTATTTGTGTGTTCTGTAAGAATTCCCAGGTATATAGTAGAGCTAACAAGGGACAAGGTTGTAGTCACTTCTTGGCCACAGCCAGCTGCCCAGAGGGACCAAGTAGTTGAACCTGCGGGCTTGGGACCATAGTTGCAGGGGACATCAAGCTCAATTGGCATAACATACTACACAAAACATTGCTCCACCTCCTACTGTGGCGAGTAGCGACTGGGATCTTAAAAGCTAGCAAGCAGCCATCTAGATGCAACGATGGGTCTCTCCTCATCCAGAGCAAAGAAGAATGAAGAAAACTAAAGATTCATGGAAACAATTAGTCCAAGCAACTGGTACACCATGTGATTCTCAGCCTATACGACTATGAGACCAGAAGAACTAGAAGGTGCCTGGCTACCACTGTCAACCACTCAGAGGGGGATCTATGTAGGAGATACTGGATAGAGAGGGGGAACAACATGGAACAAAACTCAAAAGCATTTGAGGAAAAAAAAAAAAAGGGACCAGGTTTGCTGGTCTGATAGAACCTGGTAGAACCACTGAAACTATGGTCCCTAGCTGCCCTTCAGACCTGGAATTGAACCCACACCTGTGGCTTTCAGCCAAACAAAGGATAGGAATATAAGGTGAACATTTACACTAGGTAAATACACTCCTTGGAGAGAACAATCTTGGGAGAAAGAAGGGCTGTGTATGCACAGGGAGACAGCTTGAGGGACAGGAGTGCATGGAGGGACGGATACAGGGAGAGGTAACTACTGGGAGGAAGTGGGAGGCGAGCTCTTGCATTGTGGTAAATTGTAGTCAATGTCATGAGACAAAGTGTATGTGAAATGCTGTATGGAAAGTGAATTTGCTCTGTAAACTTTCACCCAAATCACCAAACCAAAAAAAAAAATTTAGGAAGTATTGTCAGACTCAGTAAATCTTATGAAAGAAAGAAACCTTTAGAGGGCACCTATTCTAACCTCTTTCTTAAAATAGTTATCTTCAACAATCCCTGACAGGTAATCCCCCAGTTTTCACTTCATCACTTTTAACGACAAAACAAAACAAATATATTGGACATTCTATTTCTCAGTACTAATATTTCTTCCACGTATTGAAATAAAATCTCTTTTCTTTTACATGACAACTGTTCAATTTTCTAAAGAGAAGCACCATGAACTCCTTCTTTTTGTAAACTAAACATTTTACACTCTCTACCAATCTGCTAATATTACATAAAACATGTCCTCTAGAAGTGAACAAATTCTCCAGAAGACAGCTGATAATGCAGTATAGGTGGTACCCAGGTTATGAACAAGATACTGTGTCTTTAAGAATGTGTAGGTAAGTTAGAACAGGTGCAATACAGTGCTTAAGGCTCTAAGCATTTTCAGTGATTTAAAAGCTGCATGTGCAACAAGTGAAGGTGATTGTGATGAATTTGTTGGGAGTAGGGGTTGGTGCAATTGTTTTAAAGTGAGAGCAAATTTACATTATATCAGAGGGCAAGTAGGAGTTAGCAGTAAGTCAGATGTTAATAACCCAGGGACTGCCTGTATGCAAAATTTTCTATTACTGTAGCTTAAAGTTACACCAGCAAGAGCCCTGGTAGCACAGTGCCGAAGGCACTTGACTGCTAACCTGAAGGCTGGCGGTTCAAACCCACCAGCCACTCCTCAGAAGGCAGGCTGGCAATCCTACTTCTGTAGTGATACTGCCTCAGAAACCCAAGGAGGGGTCGCTATGAGTCGGGGTCACCTCGATGGCACATAACAACAGCCATAAAATTTTGTCACATGTTCTCCAACAACATGCATAATGATTAACTACTACTACTATGTGGTAATGATTTACTACTCTAGCATCCTATTTATTTTCCAGGATCTTCAAAAATAAGACCCTTGATCACATCTGCATTATCTATAAAAAAATTTTAGTTTATAAATTGTGATATAATAAGACCTTTTTTTAATGCATGAGTTTTAAGTCATGCATAGATTCATGTAACCTTGACCACAATCAGCATAACATAGTTTTATCTCCCCCAAAAAACTCCCTCCACTTCCCCTTTGTATTTGCACCCTCTCCTGAACACTACCTACTGGCAGTCACTGACATGGTCTCTCGTGCTACAGTTCTGCCTTTTCCACAATGTCATATAAATGCAATTGTAAGCATATACATCCTTCTGAGATGAGTTTCTTTCACTCAGCATAATGCTTCTGAGGCATTATCCACATTTTTGAGTGAAAAAGAAGTTCCGTACCATCTAATCTATTACATACTAATCTATTGTGTGGATGGGCTGCAGTTTATGTATCTATTAACCTGATGAAGAACACTGGGGTTGTTTCCAGTTTTGGGGGATAATGAAAAGAGTTGCTATAACCATATGTGTACAGGTTGTTAGAGGAATGTTTACTTTCCTACGTACCTAAGGACAGAATTGCTATGTCATAAAGTGTACATTTAACTTTGTAAGAAATGATCAAACTGTTTCCCAAAGTGGCTTTCCCATTCTGCATTCTCACTAGGAACAGATGAGAGTTCCGGGTGTTCTGCATCCTCACCGATACTTGGTATTGTCAGCTCTTTTTGTTGTTTGTGTCATGGCTCTTTTAATAGGTGGGTAAACATAACTCATGATAGTTTTAATTCTCATTTCCTTAATGGCCAATAATGTTAAGTATCTTTTCACGTAGTTATTAACTCTTCATATATCATCTTTGGTGAAAAGTCTCTTCAAGTATTTTGCCTACTTTTAAAAAATTGAGTTTTGAGAGTTCTTAGATATTCTACATATAAGCCCTTTTTCAGAAATGTGACTTCCAAGAATTTTCTCCTAATTTGCTTATCTTTTCATTTCTCTTTATCAGTATCTTTCTAATAATAAAAGCATTAAATTTTTATGAAGATCAATTATCTCAAAGTAAAAAGTTTAACTTTCAAAAAAAAAAAAAAACCGGCTTAAACCTTCACCCCTACACCTTTTCAATAGAGTCAAATTTGTATGAGTCTATTTCTGGACACTATTCTGTCCATGGATCTAAGTATCTATTCCGTCACCAATAACACTATCTTGAAACTACAGCTTTCTAGTAAGTCTCAAATCGAGTATTGTGTCATCCAACTTTCTTCTTTTTTTAAAAATTGTTTTGGCTAGTCTAGCTCCTTTTAATTTCCATGTGAATTTCAGAATTAGGTTGTCCACATCTATTAAAATTCCTGGTGGGATTTTTATTAGAATTGCATTAAATCAATATGGGGAAGATATAGTTTCAACCATGTTGGGTCTTCAATCCCTGAACACGTATGTCATTTACTTAGGTCTTTGATGTTTTTCATCAGTATTTTGTGGTTTTTGGCATATAGATCTTGTACATATTTTGTTAGATTTACACCTAAGTATTTCACATTTTTTAGAGCTATTGTAAAGGGTAAAATAATGTTTCTAACATTTTTATTAATTTTGGTCCCAGATTTCATAGCTTAGTACATAGAAATCCAAGTGATCTTTGTATGCTAACCTTGTGAACTAGCTAAACTCAGTTACAGGAATTTTGGTGTGTATTTTTTTGTAAATTCCTTGAAATTTGTACACAATTACGTTATCTGCAAATAAACATAGTTTTCTTTCTTTCTTTCTAATCTTTTCTTTCTATTTCTTACTTTACTGAACTGGCTAAAGCTTCCAGTGTGATACTGAATAGGAGTAATCAGCCTGGACATCTTTGCCTTTTTTCTGCTCTCAGGGGGAAAGCATTCACACTTTCACCATTGAATACAAAGTAAGCTGTAGGAGTTCTGCAGATGCCCTTTATAAATAATTCCAATTTGAGAATTTTCATTATGAAGGAACTTTGAACTGCATTTATTGAATTGATAAGTTTTTTTCTTCTTTAGTCTATCAATATGGTAGACTGCACTGATTGATTTTCAAATATTTAACCAGCCTTTCACTCTCAGGATAAACTGTACTTCATTGTGCTGTATTATCCTTTTTATATATTGCTAAATTTGATTTCCTGATACTTTGTTGAGGATTTCTGCAGCCATGTTCAGGAGAATTGGTCTTCAGTTTTCTTTTCTTCTTATGTCTTTGCTTGATTTTGGTATCAGAGTAATATGGGTCTCATAAAATGAGTTGGGAAATATTCCTTCTTCTAAGATTTTCTAGAAGAAATTGTGTAGAACTGTTGTCGTTTCTTCTTTAAATGGTTGGTAGATTTTGCCAGTGAAACTATTTGGGACTTAAAATTTCTTTTTCAGAATGTTTTTCAACTACAAATTCAATTTTTAAAAAAACAGAGATCTATTCAGGTTATCTATTGCTTCTTAAGTAATACTTTTGGTAGTTTTGGGGCTTTACAGAAATTGATCCATTTCATCTAGACTGTTATGAGTAAAGCTGTTCATAGTATTCCTTCATCTTTATAGGGTGTGTGGGATCTGTCGTGATAGTCCCTTTTATTCCAATATTGGTAGTTTTTTTTGTTGTTGTTTTTGTTTTTAATTTGTTAGTCTAATAGTGTATCAATTTTATTCATCTTTTTAGAGACCTAACTTTTGGTTTCACTGATTTTCTCCTAACATTTTGTTACTTTCAATTTCACTGATTTTGGTATTATTTCCTTCCTTGTGTTTGCTAAGGATTCTGTACATACTTTTACTGTGATGATAATAAAATGAGATTTAAACTCACTTAAAGCAGCTAAGTTTTCTCTTAGTAACCTTCACGTATTTTATTTTGTATGTATTATAATTTATACACTTCTTAAAAAGTTCCTAAATAGAGAACATGATGTCAATACAGAGGTTCAGTGGTTTTCCATTTCCCTTGTCATGTGGTAAGAGTTTGCCACTCTCTCTAATGAATGGACTCTTCTTTATTTTTATAGTTCTACATAATTTAGAGGTTTTGGGTTTTTTTTCTTAGCATTTTTTCATGTGGCAATCTAACATCTGAAATTTTCTTTAGTTGTTTCCCTTCCTTTCAGTTTTTGTGTTATTTTTAACACTGAGTAATCATAAGCTCACAATGTTTTCTTCATATGGTTCATTTATTAAGACATTTATAATGTACACTGGAAGTTTTTATAATGTGTCAGGTGCTATGTTAGCAGTCTGTGCTCTGTACTGAGGACGACTTGGTTCTGAACAGTAGTTCTCAAGGGAAATTTGCAGAGGTGTTTTTGGTTGTCGCAATTTATGAGGGAGCACTAAGGCATATTGAAGGCAGGAACCAGTAACATTACAAAATAACTTTTTCTAAAAAAGGGCAAGATTCTGACAGTGCAAATAATAGTCTTTCTCAATTAATTATTCAAAACAAATACTCATTAAAACTATTGAAGTAAAATGATAAATACCATAAAAATATGGTATTTCCAAAACATTGTTCCACCTCTACTTTGGCAAGTAGGGACTGGGATCTTAAAAGCTAGCAAGCTGCCATCTAGATGGTGCCCAGCTACCACTGTCATCCATTGGAAGGGGATCTATGTAGGAGATCCTTGATAGAGAGGGAGAACAATGTGAAACAAAACTCAAAATCATTTGAAGAAAAAAAAAAAAAGGTGGGGACCAGTTTTGCTGGTCCGATAGAGCCTGGTGGAACCACTGAGACTATGGCCCCTATCTTCCCTTCAGGTCTGGAATTGAACCCACACCTCTGGTCTCCAGCCAAACAAAATACAGGCATATGAGTTAAACATTTACCTCAAGTGGATACACTCCTTGGAGAGAACAATCATGGGAGAAAGAAGGGCTGCTTATGCACAGGGAGATAGCTCAGGGGTAGGAGTGTATGGATGGATGGACACTGGGAAGAGGTAACTCTGGAGAGGAAGTGGGAGGGGAGCTGTTGCATTGTGGTAAACTGTGGTCAATGACATGAGACAAAGTATATGTGAACTGCTGTATGGAAAGTGAATTTGCTCTGTAAATCTTCACCCAAATCACAATTTAAAAAAAAAAAGGAAAAAAAAATATGGTATTTCAAGGACATTAACAGTACCTTTCAAGGACATTAACAGTACCTTTTCATTTTTAACAAGTTGCTTACGAATTGCAGAATCCCGTCTGAAGCATAATGCCTTACAACATGGTCCAAGATTACTGAGAAGACTTGCTCTTTCTTCTTTTCGTAGTAATGCAGCCATGTTGAGAGCCCCCAATTCATGTTCAAAAAGACTGTCTGTATCTTCAATAAAAATGAACATGACTTCTTAAAATATGAAAGCATTACCAATTGCTGAGCTGAATACAATCTATACCTTTTTAAGGTTGGCAACATCAATGAAAATAATTTTATTAAAGGCAACAAATTCTCTGTGAAGGACCTTCAGCATATAGTTATGCTGCTAGTATCAAATTATATAAATACTCTGATAGCCAGTTTAAATTTGTCAAAGACAAAGAAAAGACTCAGGGAGAGAATTAGACACTGATGACTAACTGTGAAAAGACGCAAAGTTCAAGTTAAGAATAGTGAAATCAAACTGAGTATCTTGCTTACCATCAACTACTTCTTAAAGCTCTAGATTTCAGGGCTTTATTCTATAACAAGATTCAAACTTAATAATATTAAGACTGTGAACTCTAAAACTTTCCTTAAGTTAGAAATGTGATTAAGGTGTTTGTCAGACAATTGCACAGTATTTCCTAGCTTATAAAATCTGGGATGAAATGTATGAAATTTAAGTTACTTAGAGTTAAGTTACAGCATGCAAGGTAGAACGAAAACACTTAAATTTTAAAAAAATTAGGAATAATTAAAGTATTTGATCAAAATAAAGATGTTGGGTTAAAAAAGATCCAGCCAGTAATCCAAATAAATAACAGAAATAGGAATGACTTCAAAGTTAGCATTCTAAGAGTCAGCCAAGAGTAGTACCAAAGGTACCAGCTACTGTCTCTACTCAAACAACATGTTCAAAGAGGCCTTGTTAAACAAAGGAAACCAGTAAAAAACACTTGGGCAAAAACAAAGCAGGTACTTTTGATTAGAATGAATGGAACTGCATTACATACTTCATTTAAATTTTCTGCAATGCAAAGCATAAATAATGAGATTAGATAATTAACAAGAAACTAGTCTCGTGTCATGTATCTAGTCAATAGGTATATAAGAAAAGTATAAATAAGCATAAAGAAACACTCAACAAAATTTTCATGTAATCAAGAAGATGTAAAAGTATGATTCTTTTTGCTCTAAATTATTTTGTATGTACACCAGCTCTGAAACATGAAAGGAGCCCTGACAGCACAATGGTTTAATACTAAACACATACTTAATTACAAGTAAAGCAAACATACCAGAATAAATGGAAAAGTTTAGCTCAAAAGAATCTAACCCTATTGCAATCAGAAAACTGATAAAAGCAATTTTAGTTTCAGTATATACCCAGGTTTTGTGTTGAAAGCCTTTGTGTGTTTTGTTTTGTTTTTTAAATTACATATAAGGTGGGAGTAGAAACAATCTCTCTAGTGTTGGGGCAAATGGAATAGAAAGATCAGTATAAATTATTTCAGAAATTACTGAATACCTACTGTGTGTCAAGCCCTGTCTAGACAAAGGCATAATGAGTAATAACAGATAATTAGACACTGGATATAGGAGTAAGCAAAATAAAATCCTATTCCTTAGGAAACTTAAATTCAGTATCATATACCAGTTTTCTAACAAAGCTATGACAGTAGCAAAAAAAAAACTAGAGATGTTTCATTGATAAACAACAGTCAAGCCCTTTTGCAGATGTGTATTTTCATTCTTTAGGCGAAGTGTCAATAAGTCAAGTCCAAACTATATTTCATAGTCGCAAAATCAAACTAGATTTTATCTCAAAATGCCACTAATACTAACAAAAGCCACAGGAGCAAATAGCTTTAGAGATGGAATACAACCTCAAAGGTTTTACTCCATCATTTTACAAATGAAATTGAGACCCACAGGAATTGCTTGCTGATGGTCACAGAATCAACCAAACAAGGCAGAAAGAATGAGGGCAAGAATCTAAATTTTCAGTCATTTTTCAGGTTAACACACATTCATAATTATCATTTATATACATTTCCTACATATACTATGTTTATGGGGCCATATTAAAATCAAGAGTTCTACTGCTTATGCTAACAAGAGAAAAGAAAGGTACATAAATGAATTAAGGATTTTTTTTTTTTTTTCAATTTCATATTAGTAAAAAACTAATTCTTGTAACCAAACTTTGGTTTACTCTCAGGGAAATACCATAAGATTGTTAAATAATGCTGTTGCTTTCATCTTTTACCTCCCTCCTCTTCCCCATTAACAAAAATATTAATAAGCTGCCAAAACAAAATAATGCAGGCACCAGACAAGAGAATCAGAGGTGTGGGGAGGAGCTGAGGGAGAATCTATAAACTACTAATACCAAGTAGGTAGTATGCCTTATTGGAATCCAGACCATCTGGCCTTAGAGATCAAGCTCTTAATCACTTTGTTAAAAACTCAACCTACACATCTGCATTTGGGTATATATAACTCCACATTTACCAGGGAAAAGGCGCCAAGACACCCACACTGCTGAGCTATGAAAAATATCTAGTCTAGTTTTCCAAGTTTCCCTTCATTTAGTTCTGGGTAAAGCACTAACTAAGTTAGGTTGATATTTGAAGCTATGTATGTATCTGTTAAGTAATTCTGATACAGAAGTTCTATTCTTCTAACTCTTCTGTGAGTTCAAATTTTTTTTCAAAATAAGTTTAAAAAACTAATTCTGAAGATGAAAATTATTATGAATACAAACGATTCCTCAAAAAAAATGTTATTGCATTATGAATGTTACAAGTCATCTTAATAGTTACAGCAGACATATAAAATGAAGTGGAATTACCTTTAGGTTTTTCTAAAAGTCTTTGACAGGTTTCTTTGACTCTGGTAAAAAGTTCAGAACCTGCTAACTTTTTAGAAATCCCAACTCTCAGCATAACAGCTCCAGGTGTGAATTTTAAGAGCGCAGCCCCAGGCTCTCGGGGTTCTTTTGGATGCTTTGGCATAAGACCAGACCAATCCACATCTATTACATCTAATGGATCTGCAAAATGTTTAACAAAGGAGAGATTTATTTTTTATACCATGAATAGAATTTTTGTTATCTATGTTGTTTTTGTTGTTATGTGCCGTGGAGTCAGCCCTGACTCATAGCGACCCCTCCTTGGGTTTCCGAGGCAGTATCACTACGGAAGTAGGATTGCCCAACCTTCCTTCCGAGGAGTGGCTGGTGGGTTTGAACCGTCAGCCTTCTGGTTAGCAGTCAAGTGCCTTAGCCACTATGCTACCATAAATCAAGGCATAATACAGAAAACATTAAATAACAAGTATTTTAAACTAAAATGTCATAATCTTAAATTGAAAGCTTTTCCATAAACATTTAATATTTAGAACTTAAGGACCCTTACAAAATAAAAAACAACTTTCCCACCAAAAGAAAACAGACAAGTAAACAAAAAAGGAAAACAAAAAAATCTAAACTACAAATAATTCATTTAAATTGCAGGATAGATCTCCCAAGAAAAAACATTACTTCACTAAGACGTTTTGACACCTGGTACAAGAAATCTTTGAAGGGTCAAATCTAGGAGTGTATTTAGTTTGCATATGTGGATATGCACACACATATTTTACCTTCTGAAAACAAGTAATTTATTATCAAATTCCTTTAAGAATCAGATAGTGGCTTTTAATAACATCAAGAGCAAACAATGCATACACTGAAAAACAATAAAAAAAATTAACAAAACAACATTCTATTTAGAAATACCTAATATTAGATAATAATAAAGATAACAATCAGATATACCTTTTACATGAGAAGAAAACATAAAATTAAGTACTAAATCAAAATTAAAAGTTAGTATTTTATATACTCAGACAAAGCAAAGACTAATGATAAATTAAAAATTGTTAGTAAAAAATCAAATTAATTGGGATGATTCAAAAGGACCACCAAAGGGTATTGCTTTGTGGTGTAGGCACTACAGTGAGCTCTCTGGCAATGCATAAAATATCAAAACAATAATCACTGAAGTCAGCAAACTGATAGAAATTGGTATGTAGTATTCAAATATAATTTCAACTATATATTTTTTAATGATCATTTAAAAAGTTATTTGTAGCACCACAGTTGTGAAGCTATACCAAAAACCACAGTCTTGGCAGTCAACATTCCAGGCCACAGAATATGAATTTCAAATTCTGGAAAAGGAATCTTAGAATTTCACTATTTTAAATGAGGCTCTTTCTAATTCTTAGGCAATGTTTACTTTCACTGAGTTGAAAATGAGAAGGAGATATCTATCTATCTATCTATCTATATATATATGGAATAAAATTTTCATTTTAATGGACTTGAAACTTTAATTGAAATATAATGACGAAATTTCTGTCTTACATCAATTCTTCAGAGAAAAGTTTTATACCATCAATCAAATAATCTTTAGTTCAACCACCTCTGCAACTGATTACCTGGCATCTTCTCTTCATCCTGTTGATCCTCCCTCTTCTCAGCATCACCTGCCAGAATTTCATCTAGTTCATCATCACTGATTGGCTCATATCCTTCTCCAGCACCAGATCCTAATGAATGTGCATCATCTAACTTGGACTCATCATCTCCTGCTAAATAGAGAAATTAATTTCATGTCAAAGTGAGCTTCCAAATGAAGAGATGCTTAAATCAAGCCAAAGACACAGAGGCTGTGCATACAGAAAAATTCTGAAAAGTATTTTTTCATTAGAAAATTACTTTCCTTTATTACTGAAACATTTAACAATTCCAAACGAAAACTGAAAAGATAAAATTTAACTTATTAAATGTGGTTTTAATACAAAAACAAAATATGGACAACACAGCAGGACAGGTTATAAGATCATAATTAAAATATGAGAAATAAAACTATCACTAACAGTTAGCATGTAATTATGTGTATTCGTGCAAATAAAACTTTAATCTAGACAAATCTACTGATTTTAAAAGGTGACAATAATTTCGTAGCCTAAATAAACTCTCTCAAAAACAAAACAAAAAAAGAAAAAAACCCACAACTTAATTAATAAAATGTATTTGAAACTTTAATCTTAATTCATAATATTTAGTTCACAATATGAAGAACAGTGAGATAAAAATGTAACCCAGAATGGAAACTAAACTAAGGTACATATACACAATAGAATACTATGCAACATTAAAGTACAATGTAGCTGCAAAACACCCTATGACATTGGGGAACTTGGATGACATTATGCTGAACGAAATAACTCAATCCTAAAAGGACAAATATAATATTAGTTCAGTATTGTAAAAAGTCAAGGAAAGGTTTATATATGGAAGGAAACTAACTTTGTTGGTTACCAGGGGTGGAGGAGGGGAGGGAACACTGAAGGGGGAAAAAAAAACATGAACCATGTCACTTTGTTGTTGTTATGTGCCGTCAAGTCAGAACCGACTCATAGTGACCCCTCCTGGGGTTTCCAAGGTAGTATCACTATGGAAGTAGATTGCTCAACCTTCTTTTGTGTATTTCGCTGTATACAAATTACATTTCAATAAAAGGTATTTTTAAAACATGTAACCCAAAAATCCACTGCCATTGAGTTAATTCCAATTCATAGAGATCCTATAGGACAGAGTAGAACTGCCCCACATAGGATTTCCAAGACTAAAATCTTTATGGAAGCAGACTGCCTCATCTTTCTCCTGTGGAGTGGCTGATGGGTTAGAATCACCAATCTTCTGGTTACCAGCTAAATGCCTTAACCACTACGCCTCCAGAGCTCCTATAAAAATGCTAGTAACTCTTCCTTTACTTCTCAACTTCCCTCCTTTTTTAAAAAAATATAATTAACAAAAATTTCAGAAGAATGTTCTAATGCAATTCAAAACACTTTGTTAGTTCCACTAGTTTATGTTCTATTTCTTTACCAACTTTTCTCAATCACCTAGGCTAAGCTTTGCCTCCTGGTGAGTTAGTTGTGAATTTAAATAATCACAAAACAACAAAATATATTTAATACTTCTAATCATTACTAGGAGCTCTGGTGGCATAGTGCCTAAGGCACCTGACTGCTAACGAAAAGGCTGGCGGTTCAAACCCATCAGCCACTCCTTGAAAGGAAGGTTGGGCAATCTACTTCCGTAGTGATACCGCCTTGGAAACCTGAGGGGTCACTATGAATTGGGTCCAACACCACAGCACATAACAACGATAACAATCATTATTATTCACACACCTTACTGACTCTACAGAACTAGTTTTGAAATTGCAAAGTATGCTTTATGCATGTAAATTTGCTGTTAGGTGCCATCAAGTCAGTTCCAATTCATAGTGACTCTACAAACAATGGAACAAAACACTGCCTGGTCCTGTGCCATCCTCACATCACTGCTGTTTTGAGTGCACTATGGTAGCTACTGTGTCAGTCCATCTCACTGAGGGTCTTCCTCTTTTTTTGTTGACCCTCTACTTTATCAAGCATGATGCTCTTTTCCCAAGACTAGTCCCTCCTTATAACATGTCCAAAACACATGTGACAAAGTCTTGCCATCCTTACTTCTAAGGAATATTCTGGGTGTATTTCTCCCAAGACAGATTTGTTCTTAGTTCAGTTTGTTGTACTGTGGTGGCTTGTGTGTTGCTGTGATACTGGAAATTATGCCTCCAGTATTTCAAATACCAGCAAAGTAACATATGGTGGACGAAGACAGTTGAGGATGAGGACCTGGCGATCTACTTCTGAAAAAGTATTGGCCGGTGAAAAGATTATGATAGCAGCAAGTATAAACTGACTTTTTCCTTGCTTGCTACTGTTGCTGAGTCAGATCTGACTCATAGCAACCCCTCCTCGGGTTTCCGAGGCATAGTGCCTAACACACTTGACTGCTAACCAGAAGGCTGGTGGTTCAAACCCACCAGCCATTCCTCAGAAGGACGATGGGGCAATCTACTTCCATAGCGATACTGCCTCGGAAACCCAAGGAAGGGTTGCTATGAGTCGGGTCTGACTCAACGGCACATAACAACAACAACAACAAATATATATTTAAAGCAAGGTGAAGCAAACCAACACACAATCAACAAATAAACACAGTAATAGCACAATGTTCTGAAGACTACAGAAAACTTCAAATCACACACACACAAACAGGACAAGATGGCCCAAACACATCACTAAAACACAGGTGCAGAAAGCCTCTGGAAAAAGAAATGGCATTGGAATTACTCAATAAGGAATTCAAAAGAATTATACGTAGGTCCCTAAACCAGATTAAGAAAGAGAACAAGGAAATGAGAGGCAAAATAAAGGAAAACAAGAAAAAGCTCTAGAAGAATTCAGCAAAATAATACAAGAACAAATTGACAAAATAAATAGAAAATTAGATACCCCACACAAAAACAGCAAATAGAAAGCCAAAAGACTGATATCAAAATTTCAGAATAAATAATGCATTTGGAGGGCAAAGGAGTAGAACTGAATCAATGGAAGACAAAACTGGCAAAATTGAAGACAAATCTCTTAATATTAATGTTAGACAAAAAATCTGAAAAAAAGAACTAAAAAACAATAAAGCAAGCCTACAAATTATGGGTGACACCATCAAGAACAACAACTTACATATGACTGGAACCCAGCACAGGAAGAGACAAAAAAACACTTCCAAGATACTGTCAAAGATTTGCTAGAAGAAAACTTACCTAATATCATGAAAGATAAGAAAATATGCATTCAGGAACAAACCCCAAACAGAATGGACCACAAAAGAAAATCACCAAGATATATCATAATCAAACTTTTCAAAAATAAAGCATCCTGAAATAGCTCAAGAAAAACAAGAAGTTAGAACAAAGGAGAACCAATAAAATTAAGTTCTGATTTTTCAGCAGAAATCATACAGGATGGCAAAAATTAAACACTTAAAAAAATTGTGTGTGTGTATATGTACACATACACATATATATAAAGCAAAACTGTCCCTCAAATATGGTGAAGAAATTATGACATTTTCACATAAATAGAAAATAAGGGAATTTGTAAAAACAAAACCAACCTTACAAGAAATGCTAGAGTCAACAGAAAACCAACAGAAGCAGATAACAACCTGAGAATGAATAAGACACATGGCATTATCACTTGGAAATCAACCCAGATATAAAATTATCAAAAATTAAATAAACGAACAAGACTGAAAATAGGGAACCAGAGCTGTCAATCTGTAAATGATGACAATTACAAAGCAAAAAGAGGGAATAAATGGTGTGGTTACAGAACTTCAAACTGGAGAGAAAGTCAAGATGATACCAAGATAGAACAGACTGTTTTAAAGTTGGGAAGGTAACAATAAATTACAGGTTAACCTCAAAGAAAATGAGTAAAAAGAAAATAAAAATTTTAACCCAAATAAAAAGAAGAAAATCACATAAAGATCCAGTAAACACTAAAACAAAAGCAATAAAGGAAACAACATGAAAATAAATAAACAACAAAAACTGAGCATAGAAAAGTAAGTAGAACAAAGAAACCATCAACACTAAAACAACAACAACAACAACAAAACTCCCACAGCAAATGACAGCAGTAAATTCACACCTATCAATAATTACACTGTCAATGAATTAAAACCAGTCAAGAGACAGGGAGTAGCAAAATGGATAACATGACCCATCAATATGCTGTCTATAAGAGATACACCTTACACACAAAGAAAACAATAATCTAAAATCAAAGGATGGCAAAACATATAGTTAAGCAAATAGCAACCTGGGAAAAAAAAAGTAGTAATACTAATTACTGATAAAATAAGACTTTAAAGCAAAAACTAGCAAAACAGACAAGGAAGAAACAATATAATGATCAAAGGGATAATCTAAGAAGACATAACCATAATAAATATTTACACATTCAATTAAAGAGCCTCAAAATATATATAAGGAAACTTTAGGACAACTGAAAAGAGCAACAGACAACTCCACAATAATATTAGGAGACTCTAATATACCGGGAGCTCTGGTGGCATAGTGCCTAAGGCATCTGACTGCTAACCAGAAGGCTGGTGGTTCAAAGCCACTAGCCACTCCTCGGAAGGAAGGTTGGCCAATCTACTTCCGTAGTGATACTGCCTCGAAAATCCAAGGAGGGGTTGCTGTGAGTCAGATCCAATTCAATAGCAGTGAGTTGAGTTGAGTTGAGTTCAATACATCAGTTTCAATGAAGAACAGACAATAAGAAAGAAACTCAACAAAGATATGGAAAATCTAAAGAAGACAATCAACCAACTAAGCCTCATAGATGTATACAAAACACTCCACCCAATACAAGCATAATAGACATTCTTTTCCAGTGCACGTGGAACATTCTCCAGGAGAGACCATATGTTAGACTACAAACAAACAAACTCACTGCCATCAAGTCGATTCCAACTCATAGCCACCCCCCTTTGTGTTTCCAAGGCAGTACATCTTTACAGAAGTAGATTACCCAGTCTTCCTTCCGTAGAGTGACTGGTGGGTTTGAACTGCCACCCTTCTGGTTAGCAGTCAAATGCCTTAGGCACTACACCACCAGAGCTCCTGGCAAGCCTCAATAAATTTAAAAACATCGCAATACTACAAAACATCTTCTCA